GGCCCCCCCCCCCCCCCCCCCCCCCATTCCCCAGGCAGCACCAGGAACTTGCTGCTCCAGAGGGGACAAAAGCTTCTTGTCAACAGGGCAGTCTGGGGCTGAAGTTCTAGGCAAAGAGGCAGGGCCTGGGCAGCAGAGGGTGTGGTTAGTGTGGAGGACAGAAAGGCTGGAGGAAGCAGTTCCCATCCTTACTTAGTGGTATCTTATAGATGGCCAGGTCTAAGGCTAGCCAAGATTCATTTCCCAGATACCCTACTTTCTGATCATTTGTTTTTTTCCTCTCCTGCCCCTCACAGTACTTCTCACTTTAAGTTAATGCCTACTAATTTTAGTACAAATGCCTACATCTCTCCCTCAGGCCAGAGGACCCTCTGCCACCAGAGTGAGATCCTAGAGACCATCATCCTAGTCAACCCCAGTGCAGACAGCATCAACTCAGAGGTAAGGCCAGGGCAGATGCCTTGCTCCAACTTACCCTTGCGGTGCCACTGCATCTTGTGTGCTATCCCAGCTGGCATGATCCTCAGCCCCACTCTGGGGCACACCAGTAAGGAACGCGTCCATATATTACTGAAGTAGGGACCAGGGATTTCAGTGCCGTCCCCTGGGTCCCCCATATCTGTGACCACCCTGCCCTCCTTCCATTTCAGGTTCACCATCTTCTTAGTACCCCATCAGCTCACAAACTACTCATCTTGAGTGGACAAACTTTAGAGCCTGAGGGAGACCTTATCCTACAGAGTGGTACTTACTCCTACCAGAACTTTGTTCGGGTCCTTCATAGTCCTGAGGTAAGCCTCCTGCTGGGTGTCTGGGAAGAAGGGGACAAGGGGCAGGAGTTAAACTGTGGTGAGAAAGGCAAGGAAGGGGAACCCTGACAGGAGCTAGGCATTTACCTCAGAAACAGGCAAAGATTAGGGGGCTGAATCCGAGTCAGACTAAGATAACCTCAGTGACCTGATTGGCTTCTATCTCCCATTCCTCTAGATTGCCCAATTGCTCAGCAATAGAGACCCTGGGATCCAGGCCTCCCTCACTGTTTCCTGCTTAGGGGAGGGTGACTGGAGCCACCTGGGACTGTCCAGTTCCAAAGAGACCTTGCACCTCCAGCTAAATCCTGAGCCTGTGTTACCCACCATGGATGGTGTAGCTGAGTTCTCCGAGTATGTCTCTGAGACCGTGGATGTGCCATCCCCCTTTGACCTGCTTGAACCCCCCACCTCAGGAGGCTTCCTCAAGCTCTCCAAGCCTTGCTGCTACATCTTTCCTGGTGGCCGTGGGGACTCTGCCCTCTTTGCTGTCAATGGTTTTAACATCCTGGTGGATGGTGGTTCTGATCGCAAGTCCTGCTTCTGGAAGCTGGTGCGGCATTTGGACCGCATCGACTCAGTGCTGCTCACACACATTGGGGCTGACAATCTGCCAGGCATCAATGGACTCCTGAGCGCAAAGTGGCAGAGCTGGAGGAGGAGCAGTCCCAGGGCTCCAGCAGCTATAGCGACTGGGTGAAGAACCTCATCTCCCCTGAGCTTGGAGTTGTGTTCTTCAATGTGCCCGATAAGCTTCGGCTGCCAGATGCCTCCCGGAAGGCCAAGCGCAGCATTGAGGAGGCCTGTCTCACTCTTCAGCACCTAAACCGCCTAGGCATCCAGGCTGAGCCTCTGTATCGTGTGGTCAGCAACACCATTGAGCCGCTGACCCTCTTCCACAAAATGGGTGTGGGTCGATTGGACATGTATGTCCTCAACCCTGTCAAGGACAGTAAGGAGATGCAGTTCCTCATGCAGAAGTGGGCAGGTAATAGTAAGGCCAAGACGGGCATTGTGCTGGCCAATGGGAAGGAGGCGGAGATCTCTGTCCCCTACCTGACCTCTATCACCGCTCTGGTGGTCTGGCTCCCAGCCAACCCTACAGAGAAGATTGTGCGTGTGCTTTTCCCAGGAAATGCTCCCCAGAATAAGATCTTGGAGGGCTTGGAAAAGCTCCGGCACCTGGACTTCCTGCGCTACCCTGTGGCAACACAGAGGGACCTGGCTGCTGGGGCTGTGCCTGCCAACTTGAAACCCAGCAAAATCAAACATCGGGCCGACAGCAAGGAGAGCCTCAAAGCTGCTCCCAAGACAGCAGTGAGCAAGCTGGCTAAACGTGAGGAAGTGTTAGAGGAGGGAGCCAAGGAGGCCCGCTCAGAGCTGGCCAAGGAGTTAGCCAAGACAGAAAAGAAAGCAAAAGAATCATCTGAGAAGCCCCCAGAAAAGCCCTCCAAGCCCGAGAGGGTGAGGATGGAGTCAAGTGAGGCGCTGAAGGCTGAGAAGCGAAAGCTGATCAAAGACAAAGTGGGGAAGAAGCACCTGAAAGAAAAGATATCAAAGCTGGAGGAGAAAAAGGACAAGGAGAAAAAGGAGATCAAGAAGGAAAGGAAGGAATTCAAGAAGGAGGAGGGAAGGAAGGAAGAGAAAAAGGATGCCAAGAAGGATGAGAAGAGGAAAGATAACAAAACGGAAGTAAAGAAATTTTCCAAACCAGACCTGAAGCCTTTCACCCCCGAGGTCCGCAAGACCCTCTATAAAGCCAAGGCCCCTGGGAGAATCAAGACCGACAAAGGCCGAGTTGCCCGTGGGGAAAAAGAGTCTTCTGGTGAGCCCCGGACACCCCCAGCCCAGAGGGGGCCCATGCCACTCCCAACTGTCAGTGGACACAGAGAGTTGGCCTTGTCCTCACCAGAGGACCTCACACAGGACTTTGAGGAGTTGAAGCGTGAGGAGAGAGAACAAAGGGACACAGGACTAGGCGAGAAACCACTTCATGTAGATACTACAGAACAGGGACATCCAAGCACAGCTATCCAGGAAGGACATCCCTCTGTCCCAGGGCTGGACCAAGGACATGTGATAATGGAGAAGGAGGTTGTCCCGGACTTTCTTGAGGACAAAGGGAGCAAGAACAGAGGCCTGGACTCAGAGGCTGAGACAGAGACAGAGAAAGAAACTTGGGAGGAGAAGAAACAGAGGGAAGTCGAGAAGATGCCAGAGAATGCTGAGACCAGGGAGGAAAGTGAACCTGAGGTAAAGGAGGATGTGATAGAGAAGGCTGAGTTAGAAGAAATGGAGGAGGCCCACCCTTCAGATGAGGATGAGGAGGAAACAAAAGCTGAGAGTTTTTATCAAAAACATATGCAGGAAGCCCTAAAGGTAATCCCAAAGAACAGAGAGGCTCTGGGGGGCCGGGAGCTGGGATTCCAGGGCAAGGCACCTGAGAAGGAGACCTCATCGCTCCTCAGCAGCTTGGCCACACCTGCAGGAGCCATTGAGCACGTCTCTTACATCCAGGATGAGACGATCCCTGGCTACTCAGAGACAGAGCAGACTATCTCAGATGAGGAGATCCACGATGAGCCAGAGGAACGCCCAGCCCCACCCAGATTTCCTACAAGTACCTATGACCTCTCTGGGCCTGAAGGTCCTGGCCCCTTTGAAGCCAGCCAGCCTACAGATAGCACTGTTCCTGCCACCTCGAGCAAAACTTATGGGGCATCTGAGCCTGAACTCACCTACCCTCCCAACATGGTGGCCGCCCCTTTGGCTGAAGAGGAACATGTATCTTCGGCTACATCAATCACCGAATGTGACAAACTCTCTTCCTTTGCCACCTCGGTGGCTGAGGACCAATCTGTGGCTTCACTCACAGCTCCCCAGACAGAGGAGACAGGCAAGAGCTCTTTGTTACTTGACACGGTCACAAGTATCCCCTCCTCCCGCACCGAAGCCACTCAGGGCTTGGACTATGTGCCATCAGCTGGTACCATCTCACCCACCTCTTCATTGGAAGAAGATAAGGGCTTCAAGTCCCCACCCTGTGAGGATTTCTCGGTGACTGGAGAGTTGGAGAAGAAAGGAGAGGCTGTGGGGAGGGGCTTGACTGGGGAGAAAGCTGTGGAAAAGAAACAGGAGACAGATGTAAGAGCATCTGAGAAACTTCCCAGTCAGTATGCTGCTGTGTTTGGTGCCCCTGGCCATGTCCTACATCCAGGGGAACCAGCCCTCGGAGAAGTGGAGGAACGGTGCCTCAGCCCAGATGACAGCACAGTGAAGATGGCATCTCCTCCACCATCTGGCCCACCCAGTGCCACCCACACACCCTTTCACCAGTCCCCAGTGGAAGAAAAGTCTGAGCCTCAAGACTTTCAAGAAGATTCCTGGGGAGACAAGCATACTCCAGGTGCGGACAAGGCAGATGCAGAAAAGCAGACAGTCAAGCCGGGGCCTGAAAAGGGCATACTAGGAGAGGGGACAGTACCTCTTCCCAGGAGCCCCCAAGCCCAGGAAGCTCCTGTCAGCATTGTCGGGGGTCAGACTGGCTGCACCATTCAACTGTTGCCAGAACAAGACAAAGCAATAGTGTTTGAGACAGGAGAGGCAGGTTCAATTCTAGGAGCAGAAGCCCTTCCTAGAGAGGTGAAGGAACTGCGTGAAGAACACCAGGAACTGCAGAGAGATGAGGTGCTTCGGCTTACTGACCAAAGCCTTTCCCCTGAAGATGCAGAGTCCCTGTCTGTCCTCAGCGTGGTCTCCCCAGACATTGCCAAACAAGAGGCCACCCCCAGGTCTCCCTGTAGCCCGAAAGAGCAGCACCTACACAAAGACCTTTGGCCAATGGTGTCTCCAGAGGACACCCAGTCACTGTCTTTCTCAGAAGAGAGTCCTAGCAAGGAGACTTCTCTGGATATCTCTTCTAAGCAGCTCTCTCCTGAAAGCCTTGGCACCCTCCAGTTTGGAGAACTAAGCCTAGGAAAGGAAGAAAGGGGGCCTCTGATAAAGGCTGAAGACCCTTCCTGCCACCTAGCTCCTGTGTCTATTCCAGATTCCCACATAGCCACAGTGTCACCAACCACAGATGAAACTGCTGGAGAGGCAAGTGTCACAGATGAGAGCCCTGCTGGAAAATTACCCAGCAGTTCTTTCTCTCACTCTGCACTGTCAGGTGACAGGAAACACTCACCGGGGGAGGTCACTGGCCCTGGTGAACACATGACATCTGACAGCTCCCTCACCAAGAGTCCTGAGTCTTTGTCAAGCCCGGCTATGGAGGACCTTGGCATGCAGTGGGAAGGTAAAGCTCCAGGGTTGAAAGATAGAGCTGCGGAGCAGAGGGAAGAGGAAGTCGTGCTCAAGGATGAAAACCTACAGCAGAACAGAATTCTGCACGAGAAGGTTGCTGTTGTCCAGCAGGGTACAGCCATGCATCAGATAGACAAGGCTCTAGATGAGAAGAACAAGCTTGGAGAACAGCTGGATAAGACTTCAGAAAAGAAGGGCAGAGACTTGGATCAAAAGGATGCAGCCATAGGGCTGGCTAAGACTCCAGAACCCAAAGACAAAGACTTGGAACAGAAGGACCAGGTCCCAGCAGAGAAGGACAAGGCCTCAGAACAAAAGGGCACAGCCCTGCAACAGTCCCAGGCCCCTGAACCAAAAGACAGAGAACAAAAGCACAGAGATTTAGAACAAAAAGACAAGGTCTTAGAGCCGAAAGACAAGACCCCAGAAGAGAAAGACAGAACCTTAGGACAGAAAGACAGGGCTCCAGAGCACAGTGTCCCTGAACCAAGACAGACAGATAGTACCCCTGAACAGAAAAGCAAGGCTAATAAAGAACAGAAGGATGAGGCCTCAGAAGAGAAAGACCTGACCTTAGAACTGAAAGACTGGGCCCTGGGAAAGAAGAGTGGTACCCTGGACCAAGACATCAGGGCTGCTGAACAGAAAGACAGGACCCTAAAAGAGGAGGACAAAGCTCAGGAGCAAAAGAGCTCTTTCCTGGAAGATAAAACCACAACACTAACAGAGACAATCCTTGACCAAAAATCTCCAGAAGAGGCCAAGGCTGTGGAACAGAAGGATGATGCTGTTGTAGAGAAGACCAGAGCCCCAGGGGTGGAAGAGAGCACAGCACAGGAGGGCAAGGCCCAAGAGCAAGATAAGAAATACTGGAAGGAGCAGGATGTGGTCCAGGGATGGCGAGAAACATCTCCAACCAGAGGAGAGCCTGTTGGAGAACAGAAAGAGCCTGTCCCAGCCTGGGAGGGCAAGTCCCCTGAACAAGAAGTTAGGGCTTGGAGAGACAGAGACACGACCCTGCAGCAGGACGCATACTGGAGGGAGCTAAGCTGTGATAGGAAGGTCTGGTTCCCTCATGAGCTAGATGGCCAAGGAGCCCATTCAAGGTACTGTGAGGAACGTGAAAGCACTTTTCTCGATGAGGGGACAGACGAACAAGCGATGACCCCACTGCAGCACACTCCCCGGAATCCCTGGGCCTCAGATTTCAAGGATTTCCAGGAGCCCCTGCCACAGAAGGGGCTGGAGGTGGAGCGCTGGCTTGCAGAGTCACCAGTTGGCCTGCCACCAGAGGAAGAGGACAAGCTGACTCGTTCTCCTTTTGAGATCATCTCTCCTCCATCCTCCCCACCTGAGATGACTGGACAGAGGGTTCCTCCAGCCCCAGGGCAAGAAAGCCCTGTCCCAGACACTAAGCCAGCACCACCCTCAAGGAATGAACCTACCACCCCTTCATGGCTAGCTGAGATCCCACCATGGGTACCTAAGGATAGACCCCTGCCCCCTGCACCTCTCTCTCCAGCTCCGGCTCCTCCCACACCGGCCCCAGAACCACAGACTCCTGTACCCTTCTCCTGGGGAATAGCTGAGTATGACAGTGTGGTGGCCGCAGTGCAGGAGGGGGCAGCTGAGTTGGAAGGTGGACCGTACTCCCCTCTGGGGAAGGACTATCGAAAAGCTGAAGGGGAACGGGAAGGAGAGGGTGGGGCCCCTGACCGCAGCCCCTGCAGTTCAAAGGTCCCAGAAGCGGGCCAGAGCCACACCCCCAGGGATACTGAGCAGACTGAGCCAGAGCAAAGAGAGCCCACACCCTATCCTGACGAGAGGAGCTTTCAGTATGCAGACATCTATGAGCAGATGATGCTTACTGGGCTGGGCCCGTCTTGCCCCACTCGGGAGCCTCCGCTGGGGGCATCCGGGGATTGGCCCCCAAGCCTCTCAAGCAAGGAGGAGGCTGCTGGCCGCAATACGTCTGCAGAGAAGGAGTCTTTCTCTCCTGTCTCACCCTCAAACCTCCAATCAGACACTTCAACTTTCAGCTATGCATCTCTGGCAGGACCCGCTGTACCCCCCAGGCAAGAGCCTGAGCCAGGACCCAAGGTGGAGCCCAGCCTCACCCCGCCGGCAGTGCCGCCCCGTGCTCCTATCTCCCTGAGCAAAGGCCCAAGCCCCGCTCTTAATGGAAGCACAGTGAGCTGTAGCCCAGACAGGAGGACCCCATCCCCAAAAGAATTGGGCCGAGGTCACTGGGATGACAGCACTAGCGACTCAGACCTGGAGAAGGGGGCTCGAGAACAGCCGGAGAAAGAGGCCCAGTCCCCAAGTCCCCATCACCCCATGCCTGTGGGCCACCCCTCAATGTGGCCTGAAACTGAGGCACATACCAGCCTTTCCTCAGACTCACATCTAGGACCTGCCCGACCAAGTCTGGACTTCCCTGCTTCAGCCTTCGGCTTCTCCTCCTTGCAGCCTGCTCCCCCTCAGCTGCCCTCTCCAGCTGAACCCCGATCTGCACCCTGTGGCTCTCTTGCCTTCTCTGGGGACCGAGCACTGGCCCTGGTTCCAGGAACTCCAACCAGACCCCGACATGATGAGTACCTGGAAGTGACCAAGGCGCCCAGCCTGGACTCCTCACTACCCCAACTTCCATCACCCAGCTCTCCTGGGGCCCCTCTCCTCTCCAATCTGCCACGACCTGCCTCACCAGCCCTGTCTGAAGGGTCCTCTTCTGAGGCTACCACACCTGTAATTTCAAGTGTGGCCGAACGCTTCCCTCCTGGCTTAGCAGCTGCTGAACAGAGCGCTGGAGAATTGGGCCCAGGAATGGAGCCAGCTCCCCACAGCCTCTGGGACCTCGCTCCCCTGAGCCCAGCACCCTTACCCTCACTGGACTTGGCTCCAGCTCCAGCTCCTAGCCTGCTTGGAGATATGGATGATGGTACACTGCCCTGCCGCCTGGAGTGCTCCGGGGAACTCACCAAGAAGCCAAGCCCCTTCCAGAGCCCCTCTGGAGATCAGGCAGCCAATGGCCTAGCAGAAACCAGTCCCAATCCGCCAGGGCTTGCCACAGCCAAGGCAGAAAAAGAAGAGGCCGAGGCCTGTACTGCTTGGGAACGAGGGTCCTGGCCCGAGGGAGCTGAGAGGAGCTCCCAGCCGGACACACTTCTCTCCTCTGAGCAGCTGCACGCTGGGAAGAGTCCCGGGGGCCCACCCTGCAGCCTTTCTCCTGAAGTTGAAGCTGGACCTCAGGGATGTGCTACAGAACCCCGCCCCCACTGTGGGGAGCTTTCTCCCTCATTCCTGAACCCACCTCTGCCCCCATTCACAGATGACTGTGACCTTTCAACTGAAGAAGCTCAGCTGGTAGGAAAAGGGGGGCGGCGCCGCACAGGGAAGCCAGGGGCCACAGGGGGCCCCTGCCCTATGGCTGATGAGACACCCCCCACATCAGCCAGTGACTCGGGCTCCTCACAGTCAGATTCTGATGTCCCACCAGAAACTGAGGAGTGTCCCTCCATCACAGCCGAGGCAGTCCTCGACTCAGATGAAGATGGGGACTTCTTGCCTGTGGACAAAGCTGGGGGAGTTAGTGGAACTCACCACCCCAGGCCTGGCCATGACCCACCCCCAGCACCCCAGCCAGACCCCCGCCCATCCCCTCCCCGACCGGATGTTTGCATGGCCGACCCTGAGGGTCTCAGCTCAGAGTCTGGGAGAGTTGAGAGACTACGTGAAAAGGAGAAGGTGCAGGGGCGACTAGGGCGAAGGACCCCAAGCCGGGCCAAGCCAGCATCTCCTGCACGGCGTCTGGATATTCGGGGAAAACGGTCACCTACCCCTGGAAAAGGGCCTGCAGACCGAACATCTCGGACCCTACCCCGACCACGCAGCACTCCAAGCCAGGTCACCCCAGCAGAAGAGAAGGATGGACACAGCCCCATGTCCAAAGGCTTGGTCAACGGACTCAAGGCGGGACCCAGTGAGTCTATCAGGAGAGTGGGAATAGGAACACTGGGTTGGAGAAAGTGTGGGCTAGCTAAAGACTCCAGTGTTCAAGCAGTGGGGAGGGGGCCAGATAGTCTTTTTGTTTTGTGTTTGTTTGATTTTTGAGACAGGGTTTGTGTTGTCCTGGAACTTACTTTGTAGACCAGCTGGCCTTGAACTCACAGAGATCCACTGCCTCTGCCTCCTGAGTGTTGGGATTAAAAAGGTGTGCAGCACTGTTGCTGAGCTCTTTTTAACCAATGCATTCTGCTTGTCTCTACAGCGGCCTTGGGCTCCAAGGGCGGTTCTGGCCCTCCTGTGTATGTGGATCTTGCCTATATCCCAAACCATTGCAGCGGCAAGACTGCTGATCTGGACTTCTTCCGCCGAGTGCGTGCATCCTACTATGTGGTCAGTGGGAATGACCCTGCCAATGGCGAGCCAAGCCGGGCTGTGCTGGACGCCCTGCTGGAAGGCAAGGCCCAGTGGGGGGAGAACCTTCAGGTAAGTACCAAGAGACACGAAGGAAGGAGTCTGGTCAAAGCTCTGTCAGAGGTAACCGTAGGACAACCCCTATTCACAAAAGGACAAGGCCCTTCCTGTGGCAGCAGGTTCATGTATGAGACCATCAGGTGTCCCTTCCCCTTCATTTGTCTTTCCTTCACAGTCTCACCTCGGGCCTGTTTTCTTCCACTCAGGTGACTCTGATCCCCACTCATGACACGGAGGTTACTCGTGAGTGGTACCAGCAGACGCATGAGCAACAGCAGCAGCTGAATGTCCTGGTCCTGGCTAGCAGCAGCACCGTGGTGATGCAGGACGAGTCCTTTCCAGCCTGCAAGATCGAGTTCTGAATAGACCCGCCCTCCCTTCCCCAAGGATCCACTCCTCCAACTCATTTAGAGAATGTCTATTGCTGAGTCCTTTGGGGTTGAGGGAAATGGAGCTGGGTAGGGGGCAAGGTCATGTGTGTGGACCTGGGCTAAGTGGGAGGTGCTGTCCTTCCCCTCATCTGTTCCTGGGCTCTCAAAACCAAAGGTAATGGGGGGATACAAAATTATGAAAATTCACCGATGCCTGAAACCCTCTCCTAGCACTGCCGAATGTTGGTCTCGGATGAGGAGGATGGGTTTCAGAGAGCACACTGCTCCCTCCTAGAGGGAGATTAACACCCCGCCCCCAACCTCGTTATTTATTTGGCATGCCAGAAAGGATTGCCAATAATTTATGTGATGTAGGGAAGGCCACTGTTAGTGAGGTAGCCAGAGCTGCGCCCTTTCCTCCATCTCCATGCCCTAGCCACCAGGGTCTGGGTTCCAGCAGGGACCTGGGGGCGGGTGGCTGCTATACTGTCTTATTGCTTCCCGCAATATCTGAATGTCTCAATCCAAAACTTGAAGCTCTTTAGACCGAGAACTAGGGAGAGGAAAAAGGATCTCATCTCCCAGCCCCAGCTTCATACCATTTACGACCTAGGGCTGTGCCCAGACCTGGCCACCTGGGCAGCACAAAGGGCAAGAAGAGCCCCAACTCCAATTCCTCCAAGCTCCCTGATCATTTAGTCTTCACCTAACCCATTCCAACAGTCCAGATGGATCCCTTCTCGTCCCCTGCTTGGCTTCTCTGCATGTGGTCATCTGCTATGGCCTGGTGTGTTATGGGTTAAAAATAAGCCACTGCCTGACACCCTTACATCTGACATTTTAGCCGTGTGACTCCCCCAACATTCCAATCCTCTACCACCCTGCAGCTGAAATGGGAATGCTGGCTGCCTCTCTAAACCCAAACTCTTGGACAGAGGTTCCGGGAGATGGAGGCTGGTCTACAGAACTTGGGGAAAATAGGAGAGGAGGGGAAAGAAGTGAAGACAGGCTGAGCGTTCCACAACAGGACAAGACCTCGCCCCAAGCAAACCAGTGAGCAGCCCTGCGAGACCCTGCTGGACTGAGAAACCCAGAGGCTGGTAGTCCCCAAGGCTTGCTTTCTTTGCCAAGCCAATGGGAAGTCAAAAGGAGCCTGCCCCATGTTCTTCCTAGCTCCCTTCTCCCGCGGCTGTGCTCTGCTCCCCCCACACTTCCCTGCTACAGTTCCCAGCTGCTGTAACAGAGCCACCTTCAAGTCTAACAATAAATCAAGTTCATTGCAGATGGTGTAGTACTGCTTAGGCTTTTCCAGATTCCACACATAACCTAGTTGTCCTGGTTTTCATCTCCGCTTCAGTCAACATTTTCATTTATCTTGGAAGGCTCTTGATTAGCCACACCCACTTCAGGACTCAGGGGAGCCAGAGAACACATGGGTGAAAGGAGGAAGGGATGTGGGAACCAGCACCATTTCTGCAAAGCAGAGTGTGATGGAATGTGCCTGTGATTTTAACATTCAGGGTAGAGGTAGGAGAATCAGGAGTTTGAGGGCAGCCTGAGCTACATAGCTAATTCTGGGCTAGCCTGAGCTATATAGTGAGTCAGGCCTTGTCTTAAAAACAAAAACAACAACAACAACAACAACAAAAACAAACCAAGGGGCTGGAGAGGTTGCTCAGTGGCTAGAACACTGGCTCTTCTTCCAGAGGACTAAAGCATATCCTAACACCCACATAGCAGCTCACAACTTTCAAAAACTCCAGTTCCAGTTACTCCAATGCCCTTTCTGGCCTCTGTGGGCACCAGGCATGCATACAAGCAAAACACCCATATACATAAAGCAAAAATAAAAATTTAAAAACCAAAAAAAACAAGCACGCAAAATAATCTGAAAATGGTTTTAAAATATGGGTATATACATTTGTTTAGGGAACGAGATCTGCATTCTATGGGGTGGAAAGTAGCCACTATATTCCCCAGAAAACTCTGGGCCTTTTCATTTACCATCCAATGGGTAAAAGCTAGATTTACCCACTACCCCAGTAAAACCCTCTATAGTTTTGCATATGTCCTGAGTGATCAGGTTATAAATGTATATATGGAAAAGAAACATTCTAGTCTTCCCAGTGTCCTGAGTTTTCCTAATGTAAAGATGTCAGTGGAGCAGAGGCCAGGCATCACCCCTTCATGTCAGTCCCCCTCCAAGACATTAGGGTGTGTTTCTTGGAAGCTAGTGAGAAGGCAGATGGTACCTGCTGCTTCACAGAGCCCAGATCTCTAATCACACTGCCCAACACTCTTCTCATTAAAGACATTTGAGACAACAGACTGACCACTACAGGGAGAAGCCAGACTTATATATTTTTAAAGCCAATCCCTGCTCAACTACAATAGTTTTTTACAGATTCAGTCACAGACACGATTGACTTACATATTCACTATTGGGTTCACAAAGGCAACACCTGTCAGCGTTCTCATTATTTTGTATTTATTGAGCACTCGTCATGTTCCGGCCCCTGACTCCCAATGACTGCATTACCCACGCCCACTCCCATCCCTGGATCTTTGGGAAAAGCTTCATAATCACATACGGTCCTAAAGACACATGATATAAGGACACACCTCTTGGGGACCCTGGAGTGTTTGATCTTTGGCCAGTCTGTCCCTGGCAAACTACAGAAATATATATGTTTATATATATATATATATATATTAAATCTTTGCTCATGTCTGTACAACATTGATCTCTGCTAATTGCTTAAAATAGAACTTGATTCTCTCTACTACAGCATTTTCTGAGCCCAACAGCCTCACAACAACCGGAGGCCTAGCTTCATAGACTGATCCAAATCTCCAAAGCGTTCTAAGTAGTCACTCTGAGGTTGCATGGCAATCTAATATCTACTTTTCTCTGGAGTCACTGTCCAGAGGGGCAGGACTAGGGCAGAGGGAACACTTGGCAATTACAAGGAAACACCCACAAGCCCAGTCTAAACCATGAGCGGCCACAACAGCTGTTTATGAGAAGGGAACACTATTTTGCAGACACCTGAGGTAGCTATCCTGGGCCTGCCTGTGATAGTGAAGACTAGAGCTTCCTTGAATGCACATATGGTCTGGGGATACCTTCAACAAGTAGAGACCTGCTGCCTTCCATTTTATATTTGCTGTTCCCTCAATAGTATCTACAACAGTTCAGTGACATTTCATTGAACAATCTACAATTTCCCACCCCACGGCTAAGTGAAGAGCTAATAGCTGCTTTGAACATAAATTAGCTCTTCCTTAGGCATAAGCTCTGGCAGAAGCATGTTTCCTGCCAGAAGGCCTACTTCCTCAGATACCCCTAGTGCGAGCCTAGGCCTTGCTCGGGCTAGTGTATTAGCCAACAGAAGGGCTACTGGTTCAAATGGCTGGTAGAATGTGACACCAATGAGAAAGCAACTAATTAAACATTGCTGGTGGAAGGGAAGAGTGCTGGTCATGGGCCAGAGACTGGCTTTCAGTGTTTACATCACTAGACAGACACTGGCCTTGGGGGACATCCTCACTGGGAAGCTCATCAACCACCTCAGGGACCACCTTGGAGTCCTGATCAATCTCCTCAGAGATCTCCTGAGCCTGAAGACCAGCCTCCACAGCAGTGAGCTCTTGGGATGGACTGTCAGCCTCAAGGATGTCTTGAGACAACTCGATGTTGGCAGGGACCTCCTGAGCCAGCATGCCAACCTCCACAGGGAACTCTTGGAATGGTGGGCCCATCTCTTCAGAGATCTCTTGAGTTGGTCTGCCAGTTTCTATAAAGGTTTCCTGGACCATGCTATCAATGTTTACTGAGAATCCATGGGCCATCCTGCCCAGCTCCACAGGAACTTCCTGGCACACCTGATTACTCTCCTCAGGGTTATCTTGACAAAGTTGGAAAACTTCCTGAGACAGTTGGCTAGCCTTCTGGCATGGCTGACAAGTGTTGGTAGCAGTGTCATGGTTCTTCAGGAACAGCTGGCTGATGTCAGGAACTTCCTGGTTAGGCTGGCTAACCTTCTCAAGGATGTCATGGCATGTCTGGCTGACCTCAGCGACATCCTGACCTAGAGCGCTGATTTCCACAGGTGGTTCTTGAGGGGACTGATTTGGCTCAATAAGCTCTTGTTGCCTTTCTATAGGGAACTCTTGTATTCCATCTCCAGGAACCTCCTGGAGCAACCCAAGGCCTTGGTTTTCTTCAGTCACATGTGTATTTACAGAGGACTGATCACTGAAGCCAAAATGTGAGTTTCCATCCACTGCAGTAGGAGAGGAAGGGCCAGCACTGGACACGGTGCTGGAAGGGCCACTGCTGTCTATAAAGCAAAGTTAGGAGGTCAGGTCAAAACGAGCTGGAGGAGGAGGCTCTGCCCGTATGTGTACATCAAATGCTAGAACACATCTGCTTTGCTGCTCATGGTTAGGAGAAAGAAGGTCTAAATTCTTCCTAAGTATGGCAGACATACGAGCTTGTTCGGCTCAGGAACTGTCACACTAGCCTAATGGAGACTATAAGAATGCTGCTAAGGCTCATCAAAGGCCTACTTCATCTAGTTTCTCGCAGGCACTCTCTGATCCCAACTCCAAATTTCTATGGCTGCTCCTTCACACTTTGGATGCATGTGAACATTTTGTCCCAATGGTTCACAATTACTGTTACACATCAAAAGTGTGGGGCTAATTACATACTGATTATCAGGTTCCGTCTCCAGAGTTTCTAATTCTATAGGTGTAGTGTAAAGATATTGATAGGAAGAAGGGGAGCAAATGAGGAGAATATTATTCTGTTGAAATGGTCCCAGTTGAGGGGACTCTGGGTGTGTGGCTCAGTGGTAGTGTCAACCTGTTATGCACAAAGCCCTGGCTTCAGTATGCAGCGCTGCACATATTGGTGCAGATACCTATAACCTTAGCACCTGGTAGGGAGGAGGGTCAGAAGCTCGAGGTCATCCTCAGCTATACATAGCTAGGCAAAGTGCAGAAGAGTTCTGTAACTGCTGAGCCCAGAACAGAAACGCAAAGCTCCACTTCATTCTATCCATGAAGGGCTTGTGTGGGCTCAGTCACTCCTGCAGGCAGGGTGATAATGGGAGGGTCTGCTCCTCACTGGTGTCTGCCTACCACGGGTGTCTCCCTCCTAAGAACTCCTTGTAGTCCACTGCTCATATTGTTCCCAAGAACAGTGACAGGCTAAAGACAACAGAGACAGAGGAGAAGCAGCCCCTCCCATGAGGGGATGGGTGAGAGCAGACACCCAGGAGGTCACTGGAGCAGCAGGCTCTAGTTGCTTTCTTCTATTTGTTGGTGCTGTTTGGTTTTGTGCTTTGAGACTGGGTCTTGCTCCATGTAGCCCCTTTCTGGCCTCAAACCTTCAGTGACCTTCAGCCTCTGCCCCCATGTACTGGAGTTACAGCATGTGTCAAGCCTGCTTGCCACTTGGGTTTCTTGCTCTCAGCTTTTCTATGTATGACTATATATTTAGGCTGTTGTCTAGTTGACATCAGCAAGAAGCTTAATATATAACTCAAGCTGGCCTAAAATTCACAATCCTATCTCTGCCTTCTCAATGAACCACAGTTCCCAACCACTCATGGTCTTTTTTTCTTTAAGATCTATTTTTATTATGGGTAATCGTGCGCGCACTCATGCACACACAAACGCACAGGTGTCTATAGAAGGCAGAGGTCTCAGGTTCCCTTGGAGCTGAAGTTACAGGCACTTGTGAGCCACATGATGTGGGTGCTAGGAATCAAACCTGTGTGCTTATATTGTTCTTGTGCTCAATATGAGCACAAGAAAACAAGAACATTGTTTGCTTGTAACTGCTAAAACTACTGAGCCACCTCTCCAGTCCCATTCCTAGTCCTTTAACCCTCAGCTTCCTAGCTCTCATGGGATAGGTCTCTTATCTACCAACCCCTCCATCCCATTCAGTTTTTGATTAGGCAACTAAAAAAAGGTTTACTTACACCAAGGTGGCTTTTCAGAGCGATGCCGAAGTTGCAAGGGTGGTGAATGAAGAGCACGGGGTGGGGAAAATGGGCTATCTGAGGCCTGGTTGCTGTGCATAGAGTCAAAGAGGGCTGTGTGGTGGAGGGGAGAAACTCATGAACAAGAAGCACAAGACAAAGAGTCTAGGCGGCAAAGGCTGTCAACCTAAGTCAAGGTCACTTTACCCTCCCCCAGCTGAGAAGAAACATACCCTAGGAGCCTTGACCCAAACCCTTGTCATGTTTTTGATTATTTCCAAACATACAATTATTAATTTGTTTTTATACAAAATAATGGGTTTCATTATGACATTTGCCTATGCATTCCTAAACTTTGTTCACATCTATCTGCTCCCCCCTGTTCCTCTCCCTCAGAATCCCACTCTCCAACAAAAAGTCACCCTTCTGTATTCCTGCCACAAACACATTCACATTTTTCTATTCCACATGAAAGAAAATATGATTATCAAATCTGTTTTCTAAGAAGTAGATGATGGCTCAGAGGGTTAAGGCACCTGCTGCCTGGACTGATGACCAGAGTTTGATCCCCAGGACCCACACAGTGGAAGGAAGGAAAGAACTAATTCCTACAAGCTGTCCTCTGCCTTCTACAGGTGCATCATTGTGCCTCATGCCACAAATAGATACATGTAAAAACAAATTTTTGAAGTTGCTTTGAAAATGAAAACTTGATTCTCTCTTGCTGCTTTCAAATTTTTCTGTCTTCTGCCAGCTGCAGTGGCAAATGCCTTTATGGGAAGCAGAAACAGGAGGGTCTCTGTGAGTTCCAGGATAGCCAGGACTACACAGAGTTTCTATCTCCAAACAAACAAACAAACAAAACATTTTCTGTCTGTCTTCTGACAATCTGAATATTATCGCCTCAGTATGGATCACTTGCATATATCCTGTAGAAACTGGTTAAACTATTTGGAAATAAAAATTCAAGTCTTTTATTAAATTGAAAAGGTTTTGTCTAATACTTTTCTAAGTTTGTTTTATTCCTCTTTGTCTTTTCCTTTGAGACTAAGAGCTGCTTGCTGTGCTTCTCTGGAATCAGAAACTATGGTCCCACAGCATGGGTTGTCATCTTTAAAATTACCACCAGGGGCTGAAGAGATGGCTCAGCAATTAAGAGCTCTTGCTGCTCTTCCAGATGACTCAAGGTCTATTCCTAGCTCACAACCACTGTACCTCCAGCTCCAGGGGATCTGATGCATATAACACCCCCAACCCACATATAATTGAAACAACAACAAAACTACAACAAACTAGGGAGTGGAGGGTGAGCAAGAACAACAAAAGAGCTGCAACCCTTTTCATCCATTTCAGGTTACTATTCAATTTTTTTTTAATTAATAATTAATCAGTTCTGTATGTGCTACAAGGGGCCCACATGTTAAACACAGGCTTTACTACTTAGCTGCAGCCCAGTCTCCAGGTCACCTCTTTCTTAATGTAGCACTTCCCTGCTGCCCATGAGCCTTTGACTATTTTCTAGAGTATTGAGAAAAGTTAATTGTAACAGTTTTTGCTGTGTGTGCATATGCAAATAAGTATGTATGTTTGTGTGTATGCACTCATGTGAAGGTCAGAGGTTGAGGTCAAGTGTGCTGTTAGATTGCTCTCCAACTTTTAAATTTAATTTTGTGTGTTTTGGTGTTTTGTCTGCATGTATCTCTGTGCACCACACACATGCCTAGTGCCCCAAGAGACTTTTAAAGGGCTCCAGATTTCCTGGAACTGGAGTTACAGACAGTTGTACTGCCATGTGGGTGCTGGAAATCAAACTTAGGTCCTCTGAAAGAACAGCCAGTGTTCTTAACTGCTGAAGTATGTGTGTGTGTGTGTGTGTGTGTGTGTGTGTGTGTGTGTGCGCACACGTGTGCATACATAACCCAGAGCAAGTGGGTGAAGGCCAGGAAACAACTTAGGGGAGCTGGTTTTCTCATATCATGTAGGTCCTAGGGATCAAATTCACATCATCAGGCATGACAGCAAGTACCTTTACCTATTAAGCCATCTCATCAGCCTCAATTGTTGTTAAGAGTCATTTCTATGTCTCTGAGGTTACCTAACTATGGTTTTTATCTTTTTTTCTCACAAACTATTATTTACTTTCCTATACTTAAGTATCATGGAAAAATAACAGCGAAGAAGTTCTGCCCCCTCCCATCAATATCAACTATGTGGCTGATGCACAGTAGGAAGAGTGGCATATTAGGGCCAAGACCCATGCTATGGTCCATCTCCAAGAATATGACATACAAGCCAGCACCAGCCTTCAGTCATGGAGCCTTTAAACCTGGGCAGGTTCAGACTTCTCCCGAAGCTAGAAAACTAAGGAAATTAGCGGCTGGGTGGATTTTTTGGGTTTTGTTTGTTTGTATTTTAAGGGTTCAAAATGAAGCCTGGATGATTTTGAAAACCATCCTCTTAACCCATACTCCATCAAAAAGTTATATAGAACACATTCTTCCACTGCAATGGCTGCAACTATTTCCTCATAAAGCTCACTGTGTAGCTGCAAGAGGCTCTTCTGCCTCAAGATGTAAACAAAGGGGAGACATTAGTGCCATCTGCAAAATAATATTGTGTCTATAAACTGCTGCTGGATGGAAACACAGATTTCCAAGAATGAAGGAGGAGGGAAAGAGGGATAATTCAACTCTCACACTAAGCTTTATAAGCTGTTTTTGCTGTTGTTGTTGTTGTTTTCAGTGAAGAGCTGGGAAAAGATGAATTTACTGTTTTATTTCAAGAAGTCGCAAGTGGGGGTGGGAAAGAAGGTTCAGTGGGTAAAGAACTTGCTGCCAAGCCTGACAATCAAAGAATTTGATCTCTACAACCCACATGGTGGAACAAAAGAACCAAGCAAGGTCAAGTTATCCTTTAACCTTGACATGAGTACCATAGCACACATAAACCTTCCTCCAACTCATAAAATAAATAATAAAACTATCAGATGGTATGTGCTCTCAAAGCTCTCTCTCTCCAGGATCACATGGTCTCTTAAAATGCAGGCTGTTTTCAATGGCAAATTCAATGATTCAAATTGAACCACGTGGCAGCCATGAGTCCAACTGTATCATGAATTTCAATACACTGCAAGTTAACTGCTTGTTAAAGAGAAATGCTTCACGAGCGGCACCAATGAACTGAGGAGAGATGAGTCAGGATCTGTTGCTTAGTTTCCTGTCAACTTGAAAGAGCTATGGTCATCTGGGAAGAGGGAACCTTAACTGAGAAAATGTCTCCGTCTGATGGCCTGTAGGAAAGTCTGTGGGGCCTTTTCTTGATTAATGACTGGTGTGGGAGGGCTCAGCTCACATGGGCAGCACCACCTCAGGGCAGGAGTCCTAGGAGGTATATGGGTATCTAAGGGATGGAGAGATAGAGGGTTCAGTGCTTAAGAGCACTTGTGGCTCTTGCAGAGGACGTGGGTTCTGTTCTCAGCATCCATATGGTGACTCACACCCATCTGTGACTCCAGTTCCAGAGGTCTGACCCCCTCTTCTGGCCTCTACAGGCACACATAAGGTGCACCTACATACATGCAGGCAAGCACTCATAATATAAAAAAATATAAATAAATAAAAGAAAGGTAGCGGATTGTGAACCCAGAGAACAAGCCAATAATCAGTATCCTCTGATTTGTTCCTGCTTCCAGGTTCCAGCCTTGACTTCCTGCCCTGATCCCCTTCATGATACAAGATAAACTCTTTCTCTTCAGGTTCCTTTTCATGGTGTTTACTGAAACAGAAAGCAATCTAGGGTAAGATCATGTTACACCTTACATAGGAAAACAGATGGAGGCCTCCAAAATGATCAAGAAAATTCTGCCTATTTTGCTAGCTGAAGTTTTTTGTTGTTGTTAAGATTTTATTTAATTTTATTTTATGTGCATTGGTGTTTTGTCTGCATTCAAGTCTGTGTGAGGGTGTTGGGTCCCCTGGAATTATAGTTACTGACAGTTATGAGCTGTCATGTGGGTGCTGGGAATTGAACCTAGGTCCTCTGGAAGAACAGTCAGTGCTCTTACTGCCCACCCTCCCTCCAGCCATCATCCTAGCCCCAATACCTGAAGTTCTAAAAGCCAAGTGGCCATGCGATTTCTACTGCTGACAGCTTGGGTCAATGTCCCTTGGCTTCCTAGCTATCCATATGTGTGAGTGTGCGTGTGTATACATACATGTTTTTATGTATGTATGTGTTCATGTTGAGACCAGAAGACAACCTTGGGTGTCCTTCTGTAAGTACCATTAGCATCTCTACTTTTTTTTTCTTTTTTAAGACAGTTTTTTCACTGGTTTGGAACTAGCTAAGTAGGCTGGCTGGCTGGCTGGCTTAATGACCCCAGGACATGTGTGTATCTGCCTACCTTGTGCTGGGTCTGTAGGTATGCCACCAGCACCTAGCATATTCTTAATATTATTATTTTTTTAATTAAAAATGTGTCACTAGGCAGTAGTGGAGCATACCTTTAATCTCAGCACTCAGGAGGCAGTGGCGGTGGATCTCTGAGTTTGAGGCCACCCTGGTCTACAGAGTGAGTTCAGGACAGTCAGATCTACACAGAGAAACCTTGTCTTGGAAAAAAAAATTATGTGTATGTGTACCTGCTAATCTATATGTTCACCATGTGCATGAAACAGTCTGGGAGGCCACAAGGGGAGCCCATGGAACAGGAGTTATAGGAAGCCATGAGATACTTGATGTGGGTGCTGGGAATTGAACCTGGGTCTTGTACAAAAGCAGCAACTGCTCTTAACCACTAAGCCATTTCTTCAGCCCCTTATTTTGTTTTGTTTTTTTTTTGTTGTTGTTGTTGTTTTTGTTTGAGCCAGGGTTTCTCTGTGTAGTTTTGGAGCCTGTCCTGGAACTTGTTTTGTGCTTCTGCCTCCTGAGTGCTGGGATTAAAGGCATGCACCACCACTGACTGGCCCCTTATT